GGAAGAAGGTGTCGACTTCCTTGTTTTTACATCCCATTTTTAAATTCTATTCGTCGGCTTGCATAAATAATTGTGAAGTGTTCTGACAAAATGATTTGCTCCTCGGATTCGAGCCCTATGAAAAATAGATACATCACGCTTATAGGTGAAGTTTTTACAATTTATAAGTATGAAATAATATTTAAAAAACATGGTTTACTTAAAGAATATGGCATCAATAGAAAATCTACCAATATGACTCAAGTGTCTTTTTTGGGCCAATATCCCCATTTGTGAATTGCAAGATGTAACTCATTTTGTCAGCATGCCTCACTAATATTATTGTATCTTGTTTTGAGAAAACTAGACCGCCTGCCTGCCTAGTGCCTGCCTGCCTGCCTGTCCTAAAGTTGGCGCGCACTTGTTCTTGGGCTAGATTAGACACATGCTGAAATTATGTGTCACCACAGTTTGTGCCCTGGAGTCCTTCTGAATAATTGGCTGTGGTCATTCGATTAGTCGGGCCCAGCTGTTACCTAGAACAGTAATCACTTTTGATGTGCTGAAATAACAGCTTTTTATACATAGACTACTACAGCCTGACCTGCTGTGCCAACGTGGAGATTTTGCAGAATCAGGAGAAAATTATTTAACCCTATCCGTACGTCGTGATTTACAAATCATATCCATACGACATGGGGAAGGAACCCTGTGCCACCACTTTCCACAGAGGAAATTTACTCGTTAATCCGATCCGTACGCTTTGCCATTCATAACAGTCTGTCAAAATGATGTTTTAAAGAAGTATTGAAAGTTTCAAAGAGATCTCCGTACTAGAGGTATTCTAAAATGTGAAGAATACAACCCCTGGGGTACAAAATTACCCCAGGACGTACGGATAGGGTTAATTAAAGAAAATGCGCTCCCTTAGCTCAGTTGGTATCATGCTGGACTACAGAGCGGATGGCCGTGGTTTAAATCCTAGACTGGGGACTGGGTGTTCTTAACTTGAGCTCGGGTCGTTTCATCGAGTTTGTATGTACAACAATTACAGTTTACAACTCATTTCGTATCATACTATCGGGGATTGATATAAAAATTCGGAGGTCCCACTTCTAAAATTAAATTGCGGAATAATGTTGATATGGGCGTTAAACTCAAACACGGTTTTATTTTAGAAAAATACTAGCTGGGCCCCCTTTCGATGAAAGGAATGATCGGTGTATTAACAGCAACTGAAAGGCATTGGCCTAGGCCTAATATAATTATTTGCACTCTCCTGGAATGGAGCAATTAAATCTTGAGAGATGCAAAAAAATTAAAAGATCTAGATCTAGATCTATACCCTCAAAACAAAATGCGCTTTGCAAAATATCACTTCCGCACCGGATTTTCTCAAATTACAGTGACAGAAGCATCGCCTACAAAAGCGAACGGCGAAATAAAGAAATTTAGCTTTTCGCAGCAAACCTGTCACAAAACTGTAAAAACGAAGTGCGTCATGATTTGGAGAATATTTTTTTTTATATTTTGGCGAAAACCGCATGTTGATCAATACAGCCATTAAAAAGCCTTTTGAATAGCAAAATTCGGCCACCACAAATAAATAATAGATTGTTGGTGACCTTGGCCTCCAATGACACCCCCCACCCCTCTTTTAGCTCAATTTACATACTTTTGGAGGCGCGGGCTGCTTTGACACACTACATGTAAGGGTCAACCCAGGCCGAGAGGGATACAGCATCCCTGCAGAAATACCTGGGCACCGTACTCGATTTT